AACTTGTTGGTGACTTTTGACTCCGACATCCGATTCTGATAATCCAACTAGAAATTCCACCATTCGACTCTTGATCTTGTTTTCACCCAATTTGTTTCAATAACAAATCTAATGATCCATAAAAAAAAAAAAAAAAAAAAAAAAAAAAAAAAAAAAAAAAAGCCTTGTATGCTACTTGTCCTACTCATAACAAGTTGGATACAAATTCTTCAATTTGAATTTGGCTCAATTTTTTTTTTGGATGGGATTGGATTATTTTCAGACTAGATTGTCATCCCTACCCTTGGTTGGAAAAAAAAAATGATAGTAAACCATACAAGCCCAAAAATTCAAATACCTAGCTTGTATCTAGCCTTTTACAATGGCCCATTATTTAGTTAGATATGATTCACCAACAGGCCCTCTGACAAATTCAAAAGCAGCTTAGCAAAATTTGGCCCATTCTTTAGTTTGATTAACTGAAATATACAGCCCAACTCGTTAACTAAAAACTTTTTCTTTATTTTTTTTTTCAAACTAAAAAAAATTTCACCCGATGAAGCTTGATCGTCACGCCTCCGCGCTGTCCAATTGCAAAGTACAGAGAATTTTTTATGCAAGCATATCCGGTAATTAAGGGGCACTTCAACTTATTCGGATATAGTCGGGTTAAGCCTAATTGAAAGAAAAACTCTCCCAACAAATGTTGTTCCGCTCCCAAGTCTCGAACCTAAGACCCCCAATTGCAACCTAATGGCTAACAATTTCTTCAAATCCATTCCGATAAAATGTGAGGTATTTCTCATTTTCCTGCTTAATATATTGGTTTAAGTTTAATTATTCAATTTGCACATCGAATTTTTTCATTTATACTGTAACCTGATTAAAAATGAAGTATGATTTCCTATGATTTAAACTTTTGTGAAATGTGGATTAGCTTTTTGCTTAGGATGTAAGATTTGCTGATAAAATCATACTGAAAATGTGATTGCACTGTAAAAATTTATAAATTTTGATTTTCTAGGTGTTTATGACTGTTGAATTCTGCAATTTTACGTTATTGGACTGAAAATTCACAAAAGTTAGGAGAGGAAATAATGGACTTAATTTATTCTAAAATTTGATGCTGAAAAAGGGGTTTGACATGGAAAAAAAGTGGTAGAAAGAGGTGAAAGTGATACATATTACATGCACGTTTTAATTGTCACTCCCTTTTATGTTTTTGGGATTGTACATGCATTAGGGATTACTCAAAATCAATGTTAAGACACTTAATCAACCATATCAATAATCGGAAACCAGATCGCCCTCCTAGCAATAATATGGGTTACGACTTACTAGTCTAAATACATATGTTTCTCAACGAGAAATGATCAACGTGACACAATGAGAGTTATAATGGACTTTTTTCTTGTTGGGGTGATTTTGGATTGGATGAACTCGTAGTTTAAAATGATAGATATGTTATGTCATATGTTGAAGCATTAATATTGTGTATTGGGTTGATACTTTGTTTTGGGCTGTCATTTTTGTATTCCAATTTTTGTTTTAAATTTTAGGATTGCGATTTTAGAGTTTTCACTTAAAACATTACCATTGTCCACGACTCTAACCTTTATAAAATATAGCTAAGCAAGATTATCATATTTAACTTTGCACCCATTTTTATAATTCATCAATTTGGTGAAAGATTGAACATAATCATTAAAGGCACATGCCAAAATGTTTACAATCTCCTCCCTAATTTTAAGGTTGCTCTTTTAGTCATATTTTTTTGTCTATTGGCATCATTGCACTTCCTTTTGTTTATTTTAGCAGGTGATTTGTGTGTTCAGAATTGTCCAGGTGGTCCTTATATTATTCAAAATTCAAGTTAACTTCTTCTAAATTTATTTATTCAAATAAAATTTTCAATTTTATATTTTTGTCTAATAAAATTCTAATGTAATGGACTTATAGACAATATAATTCTGGCCTGCAAAGAATAGAATATAGTATATAGTTTTCTTTCCACAATTGGGCCTGCTACTCATGATTTTTGAACAGGGCATGTTTGCTTGCCCAAGATAAAGACTCTAGACTACAGTAAAGATAAAGCATCAGAATTAAAGTTATTTCCCTTGGAGTAGCTTCCATGTTATCTATTCTTTTTTTAAGGAAAAAAATAAATAAATAATTTTTATTATTTTTGGTTTTGTTTGTGGTATTCATTTATAAAATTAAAAAAAAAAGAGAAGAAAAAGGTAATGGAGTGCTTTCTTTTTGGTACTATTTCAGTTCTTTTATTGTTTGATTTTGTTTTCTGATAAATTATTGTCCAATGAAAGCATGGGAAAGTTCATTCTATTGAGTAGCTTGCATGTTATGCATACAATCTTATTAGTGTTGCACCCATATCTATAGCTATTTACAGTATGTCTTCAACTCTATCTTCATGGATAGATACATTTGTTTATGTTACCTTCCTGTTGCAGTCACCTTCACTTTTCTTTATGAATATTTAATCTTAGACTTTGTTAATCATCTCTATTTTATACTTGATCCATATCTCTTAAATTAACCACATTCGATTAGGGATAGATCATTTTGTATATATGGTATTGTGTCATAATATTATAAATAAATATCGTACATATATACTACATATGATATATCATTCACCATTTAGAGTTTTCTGTGTCAATCATGCCATAAGTTTAGGCTTGTAAAATTTTTTAGTGATTGTACTTGAAGCTGTCATTAAGGGAAATACGGCAAAGTTCAAAGTTTTACAAACAATATAGAATGTGACTATTATTTTCGGATTTAGGAGATGGGGTAGTATGAAAAAAAGGATGTGCCTGTGATAAAATTTCTATAGGCGCCCATTGTATTAATTTGTTATGATTAGGTCTCCTGCAGCAGTTACTGTCTGTTTTTAGTTTTATGATGTAGCCCTTTATAGCTATTTTCTTTCTGATGTGATATTTGGAGGCTATATGGTATGAAAAGCATTAGGATGCTTGACTATATTCTCTTTTGATCTGCTAAGGTTGTCACAATTTACCACTACCTTCGTACGAAATTAACCGTCACATTGATAGAATACTATAAACTAGCAAACGTGACAACTAAAACTTGACAAGATAGTAATATATACTGTTATTTTTCTTTTCACCTTGATTAAACTGAACACGACGTGTCTCTTTGAGAATCACAAGTAAGTTTAATCATTATGTAAATGGTACTGGGTATTTGCTAATTGGGTAAATTGATTATTGCTTTTGTTTCCTCTGATGACTAATAGATAAGAGTACTTTTTGCATCTAGAAAGAGTTTAATGCTAGATTACAGAAAAGTAAGTAAGAAAAATATAAAAATGCAGAATACAACCCTTTTCTGCTTTGTTCCCTAAATTTTGACAATTTAGCTTTTGTTTCAATAAAAACATAGAAGAATCTTTGTGATATTGTTTTTTTTTTTTTTTTTTTTTTTTTTTTTTTTTTTTTTTTTTTTTTGTCTACATTAGAAAGGTGAAAATCTTCTCTGTCTATTCAATTTCCCTAAAAAGATTTATGATTAGTTATGTGGAAGCACCATGGAAATTGCTTAGTAATTATTCAAATTCGTACATCTTATTTTTATTCCATTCATGGTCCCTGTTTTTTTACTTCATTTTTATCATTATTTATACTACTGTACTTTGCAAAATTTAGCCATTACATTCGATCTAAGCATTCCTCTTGTGTTTGATTAATATTGTTCCGGTGCTATCTAATTAACTCGATAATTATTCCTAGTAATCCACAACCCAAAACACGTTAGTTATTGATGTTACGAGTACTATACAAGATGATGTACCCCTTTCGTACTGGTGTAACAAAACTAGGTAGCGAATTGCGAGCCTGTCGGATTTGTATTACTCTGTATTGAAGCACAAATTAGGTAACACTGACTAATACAAGGACAGTGCAGGTACATTAACATACTCTGATTTGCTTCTCAGAACAAATTCAGTTCATGTTATTCATGCTTAATAATTATTTTATTATTAATATATGCTGAACCAGGTAACCGTAAATGTAAGGAAAATTAAAATAACTGCATGCTTGAATCATAATGCACTTTAATTATGTATGGATCAATTAACAACAATAAGAACTAATTGCACTTAACTTAGTGCAAAGTGACTGATGTTTATATTATAAATGGCTGTTAGTTTTCATTAATGGGTCCCATTTTATACTTGATTTCTTCCTAGAATTCCTCATGACTACTTGATTATAATCCAGGTGATGGGATGATTTATGTGTGATCTCCATGAACGCGAAAAGTGCTCCTCTACTTAACCTTCCAATGGATTTTCTGCGATTCGAACAGTACTACTGTATGTATTGAGTAACATTCCTATCTCCTTTCAATGTTTTCAGTTTTTTCTTGGAAATTTTCGCTATAATTTGCTTACCATATTTATGTATATGGCTCACTTTTTTTCATTATTCGAATTATTATTACTCACCCAATAAACTTTACATTTCTAAGATTGATGATCTGGACTTATGATCGTTCGAAGCGTGGTATAACAATCATCTTATTAAGCTATTATTTCTGTTTATCATCTTTATTCACTAACTTCTAATACACGTGTGTATGCATGAGAGAGAGAAAATAAAGGAACAAAAAAAAAAAAGGAAAGAGAGAGAAAAAGGGATAATGTGTTTTAGAAGCAAAAATCTTGGCTTGGTTAGAAAACAAAGTTTTATATCTCACGCTGCCCTATGATCCATAGATGATATGAATGATGATTACCGTGAGAGTGAAGAAAGATAGTATTGGCAAAAGACAAAGCTATGGAGTCAAAGACTTTAATTTACTCTTTTTTTCTTCGTCGGTTCCATAAAGTTCTTCAAATTTATTATAGATACACATACAAGAAATAATATATAAAGTAATTTAAGTTAGTACATATGATCTCTTTATGATGAGAGATATGGAGGTAGGGTGTAATAAAAAAATGTGGTCTTAAAATGTGTGTTAGGTTGGGGTAAGATAATTTTATAGGACGACTTTAAATGAAAAGTGAGAAGAATATTATGAAACGGAGAGTATAATCTATCTTGTTTTTTTTTTTTTTTTTTTTTTTACTTAGGATCTACAAACCGTTTTTCACTTGACCTATCAACCAACACTGTCCCCTCTTTTCGTCTTTCTCTCTCTCTCTTCCTCTTAATCTAAGCAAACCCCACAACCATCAAACTCATGATGATGAAGATCACTGCCACTATATGATACCTGCCTACATATACATAAATACACCTTTCTCTTTCTCTATAAAAGTCTTTGTATTTCTGTACATCACCCTACTTGGAGAAATATTCACTCTGGTCCTCTCCCTTTCAAAGGGATTTTCATTGTGGGATCAGTGAGTTTTTCCAAAGCCGAGATCGAGTAGCTCACGAATTATTCGATTTGAGCTGCTGAGCCTAGCTAGCTTAGCTATGAGGAAGCCTGCTGATCCCGCGGCCAAGGGCAATAATACTAATGGAAATGGTGGCGGTGGTGGTAATGTTAATGGCGGTATCAAGCTTAGAAAGGGTTTATGGTCACCTGAAGAAGATGATAAACTTGTTAACTATATGCTTACTAATGGACAGGGTTGTTGGAGTGATGTGGCTAGGAATGCTGGCTTGCAAAGGTGTGGTAAGAGCTGCCGCCTTCGCTGGATTAATTACCTCAGGCCTGACCTTAAACGTGGCGCTTTCTCCCCTCAAGAAGAAGAGCTCATCATCCATTTGCATTCCCTCCTTGGCAATAGGTAGATTATGCTTGTTTCCCTGCCTTTTTTCTCTCTTTTGTGATTGGTTCGGATTCGTTAAGTAATATTATGTGCATAATGTTTTGATGGTAAAAAAACGTAACTTATGTTTTAAGACACTTTTTATTATCATTAACTTTCCTAATTTATTGTAAACCCTTGTCTTAACATTTGATTTCTAGCATATAATTGCATTGATAAGTGTTTTGAACTTTTGATTAATGCAATTCTACATTAAAATGTCACCATTTGGAGGCTTTTGTTATGATCATTAAGATTTTGAAGTTGAGCAAAGTACTTTATTAATATTTAGATATATATTTTGTTCAAGGGGTTATTTTAATCTTTAGTTAAAAGATTTTTTTTTTTACCTATATTTGATGTTGTCTGATTTACAAATTAAACCCCACATTTTAATAGTTAGTCCACTTACCTTTTGAATTTATATTCATTAATCGAAATTTGCGCTGATACTCGATCTCATTTTCTTCTACATAGAAATGACAAGCAACTGAGACTTTTATTACCTTAATATTCTTTCCACATGTGTGCATCATTAGGTTTTTTTTTTTTTGTACGTCTAGCTTAAAATTACATTCTTGCATTGAATTTTCAATTAGTGTTCAGTTTGAAGATCGGAAATTGAAAAGAATTTTGCCTTGGAGTATATTTTGAATGAAAAGAATTATCATTTGAGTTGTAGCACTGTATAACTCTCTTCTTGATATTTCGTTTTCTCATCTTTGAGTTCGGGTACAATATGGTGTTTGTGGGTGAAGAATGTGACAACATAGGGTTTTTGAGTCAACCTCAGCTCCTTTCATGCTTTGTGATGAGGACATACATATCTTGTCCGTTAATGTTTTGTTATATATAAATACCGACATATGTTACTTAGATTTAGGAAGCACATACAATGTTCTAATGTGCTATTCTATGAAAAATTGTGAAGTGTTTTTGTCCTAAATGAAGTGTCTATCCATGTCTGAGTGTCGAGGATCTCATCCAACATCCGAGCAATATAGACAAACACTATTTTCCACCTTAGTTGCTATGAGTAGCTTGGGTACTATATATTTATATGAGTTAATTTCATAGAAATGGCTGACCCTACAAAACAAGCAATGTCCTATCCATACATATGATGTTGGTTGGTGTTGCACATGGTCTGTGATACTTGCGTGAAACTATATCTTCTTTAAGAAAGGGACACAAATTTTTCTGTTTAATTTTTCTGTTCCTAATATCTGCACTTTGAGTTGAAGACACTCCAAAAGTCCTTTTCCTTTTGAAATTTCTAGGTTCATGCAAAAAGAACCCATGCAGTTGTGAAAACGTAATACTAGTTATTGTCAATTTATTAACATCTTTGTCACATATACTACTACATTGTTTCTTGACTAAGCTTTGTTAATCTGATCAAATTAGATGGTCCCAAATCGCGGCTCGCTTGCCAGGACGAACAGACAACGAGATAAAGAATTTTTGGAACTCAACTGTGAAGAAAAGGATGAAGAGTTCATCAACCTCCTCATCACCTAATGCTAGTGATTCATCGTTGTCGACGGAGCCGAGAGATGGGATGGTGGGAGGATTCATGGCTATGCAGGATCCTTGCAGCATTATGGCCATGTATGTGAGCAACAACTCCGCCTCACCAACATCATCATCCATGCAAACCATGGTTCCTCTAAGTCATCATCATCATCATGGTATTATGGATCATCCTTTGCCCAACATGGTAAATCATAGCAATAATAATACTACTAATAGTCTTGACATGTCTTCATGTGGTAATGGGTACATGGATGGATCATCTTGCATGAGCATGGCACCCATGCATCATGGCATGGGTAATGGTGATGATCATGGTATGATGTGTGGTAGTTATGGGATGCTTGGAAGTCACAACTATAATTATGGGTTATTACAAGGGGAGCTTTCTATTCCTTCTTTGGAAACAATAAGCATTGAAGAAAATACTCAAGTTTCCGAAAATATTGTTTTTGGTAGAAACACTACTATTAGCAACAACAATAATCATTTTGACAACAACAACAGCAATAATCATTTTGATCATAACCACCACATAATTAGCGGCACAAACAATACTACTCCTCTAAACAACTCCATTACTAGTAGTGGTGCTAAGAAATTCGAGGCGACCGTGGTTCCGGGAGTTGGAATCAATTGGGAAGGAAGAGACGATTCGAGTTTGGGAGAATGGGATTTAGAGGAACTAATGAGGGATGTTTCATCCTTCCCCTTCATTGATTACCAAGTGGAATAACAACCCTCTTCTTTTTCATCCTTTCCTATTATTTCTCTTTTCTTTTTAAAAACTATTCCAAGTCAATTTCATTTCCTCTTGAAAATTTTACAACAATTAAGCCTCATATATAAACGGATCAGGATTCTCTCCACTAACTGGACGAATTGGATTGTCGGCCAGTTCGTGCTCTTGTAATTAGGCCATTGAGGGGCAAAGCTTGTCACAAGCTCCATAATTAATAAGATCACCTACAATTCTACAAAAAGGTTATAGTTAGACATAGATTACAATATACTTGATATATATACTCTGTAACTAAGGGGCATATATGGTGTTTCTATTTTTATTTTTATTTTACCATTCTTGATCAAACTATATGTAAGTTACCAATAAATGTTTCATGTAATTGTGAAGGAGATATGTGAATAGTCATAAAGCTATACAGAAACTTAAAGCTTTTAGGGTAGTTGGTAGGAACCCTAGTCATGTAAGAATATCATTTGTACAAAAATTCAAAGTATATTATATGCTTTAATTTGTTGAGGCTGAAATTAAGTTTGTTATTAGTGGGCTGCATGTTGATTGTAATACACATTGATGTGAATGAAGACTCTCTATTTCTCTCTCATTATCTCTCTCTTAAACATCATGATATCTTTCTATTGTGTTTAATCACTTTTTGAGAGATGTGATTTTATTGGATTTTCCTTTTTCTTTGGTGCGAAGATGTGATTTAACTTAGTGTTATTGGCCTTGGTAGTTGGGTTCTTGGAGTAATTATGGTGCACTTAACTTTAATCCCATTGCTTTTCATTAAGACAAAAAGCTCTCATGGTGAATGAATTACTTATTATAGACAAGCTACCTCGTGTCCTCGCCTCATATCTAAGCTAACATATGCTAATCACAAAGTAGTGGGTGAGTCCGTTTCACCATAAGTCCACCAAAAACTAAATTATATGTTTAAGAACTTTAATAAAATTTTCAATAACTTATATAACATGTTTAAATGTTTATATTCATGTTTGAAAACTTATACTTCGTATAAAATGTCTAATAACTTATATCCATCTCACCGTTTTTCATCAAGCTCCACCCCACTCGATAATTTACTTTTCACCGCCTATTTTAACTCCGTGTCATTTATATATGTTAACTTAAATATGGAACATTCAAGTGCACTAAGTAATGGATAAACGAAATGAAAAGTGCGCTTACAAGCGAATGACATCACATGTGGAAATTAATTACTAACAGACAGAAAGTTAGTAATAAAGTTCAAAGTTTAAGGAGTTGATTGACAATGAAGGAGGATAAGATAGTACCAAACAAACTTTAATCAATGTCACTCTTTGAGAATTTGAGTAGTGTATAACTAACTTGTCCTATTACTATTTTGTGCATTATATTAAATCTCGAATGTTGCAATAATCTTAGGATAGTGAAAGGAAGGCTGTCCTATTACTAACTTGTCCTATTACTATTTTGTGCATTACTATTTCGTAAAAATGAAGTTAATTATACTGAAAATAGACTGCCAAACTCACGTCTTGATTCCGTTTTGGACCGTCTTCATGCAACCTTATAATAAGAAAGATATGAAAGATATAAATAAATCACGTTTCTTTAGATATTCACTTTTTAATCATATCATTTGATACTTTAATAAATTAAAAGGTTGTGAGAAAATATATATTTCCTCAAAAGTACTTTATTATTTTATTTTAAAAAGGGGTGTATTGATTTCTTTCTCATTCTTTAACTTAAAGGATTATCAAAACATACGTGACTAAATTTTAATCACACAACTTTTGTCTTTTTGTTAATGTTTTCTCTCATTTGGGATTTTGTGTTTAAGATTGAAGTTTTTTGTTGAAGAGACTACTACCCTCTATTTTTTTGGTGTATGGAGAAACAAATTAAAAAAAAGGAGGCAAAGATGTGGACAGGGCTTAAATTTTAATTTGAGGTATCCCTGTTCAAGCCTTATCGATCAACTTGATTGTCAGCTATTACAATGTTAATATTATTCAAAAAAAAAAAATGTTAATACGTTTATCATTTATCCTTCAATAATCCCAACTTCACTATGATATTAAGTACGGAGTAAAGGTTGAAATTGGTAATAAAATCAGGAAAAAAATGATGCTATGGTACAATCTTCAATAAGGACAACTCATTTACTCTTATTATTACTCTATATCGTACATATGAACCTAGAAAAATACGAATTGGAGTAAAGAAATTGTTATTAGCTAAGAATAAGATTAACAAGACTTCAAAGATTAAATCCGAAAAAAAGGTTGCGTATCGTTTCAAGGTCGCCCTCAAATATACCAACAAAACTTATACTAGTACTAGGTATATGCATGGTTGATTGGTTGCATATTTGCATGTGCTATGCTGTAAATTATTATTTTTGTAAAAAGAAAAAAAGAGTAATTCAATTTAGCGATTCGACTAAACCATCCAAAGCCCATTTACATGTAAGGGTGTTGTTCAAAAAATACTGGACCGAAAAATAAAAAAGTAACCAATATGGGCTCCAAGTCAAGAAATAAATTTTTCCCGTCTTCGCTCTTGTTACTTGTTAGATCCAAAACCCTTTAAAAATCGATCGGTCCGGGTTTTTTTTTCCTTCTTAAATAGGGGTAAGCAAATCGGGTATTCGGTCAAAATTTTAGGACCCGGACCTGAAATTGGTTGGGACCGGGTCCTAAAATCCGGAACCGGAATTGAAATTGGTTCAACCGGGTCCTAAATTTAGGACTTGAAACGGGAACCACCGGATACCGGTTCCGATTCCGGGTATATAATTATTAAAAAATATAATATAAATTGTAATACTTATTTTAGTCCTGTTTCGGGTGAAAACAATGGGACCTTGTCGAAGGTCCGATGAAGTGGAGAAGACTGGATTCGGTCCAAGTGATGTTGGGCCGAAGGTTTCCTGCACAGTAAACACACGTAAACTAGCCTCGGGGGTGTTGCCAAGGAAGGCCCCTCCGATGCTAAAGTCAGTACAGTGTGTAGAAAGAGAACACTATGCAAGAGAATTAATTGCTTGAGGCTTTGCTTGAATGAATGTACAAATGTAATATTGATGGCTTTTTTCGCTGATACCACTCTGGGAGTGGTCTCGGCTTTCGGTAACTCTGCTCCTCCTTCGTCACGCTGTAAATTTTGGCGCGTGGAAGAGAGAGCGGAGTGTAGGACTTGTATCTGCCTGTGTATGAGGCAGATTTTTCCTTCTTTGGGTCGCTGGCCGAAGATTGCTCCGAGGCCTTTGACTTTCCCTTTGCCTTATGGCCTTGGCCTTCAGACAAGGGTATTTGTTTTTTGTTTCCCTCCCCCGAATTGAGGTTGGGTTTTCTCTTTGTTCCATTCTTCGGCTCGGATAAACTTATCCGAGGCATTCAGAGCTTCCTCCAAGGTCTGCGGGGTATGCATGACCATGAAGTCTAGGAACTTCCCGGGCTGAAGGCCATTCTGCATTGCAAAAACGGCTAGCCCCTGGTCCAGCTGAGAGACGCTGGATGACTCGTTGCTGAAACGGGTCAGATAGTCTCAGAGGCTTTCGGTTTCCCCCTGTTGCAGACTCATGAGTTCTGCAGTAGTCTTCTCTCGGCAGTTTGCCGTGGAAAACTTGCTCCTAAATTTGGAGGACAGATCATCCCACCCTGTTATGGAGCCTTACTTTACTCCCTTGGAGATCCACGCTTGCGCGACCCCCTTGAGAGTGGTTGGGAAATATTTGCACCAAGTCGCTTCGGATCTAAGGCAAAGATGCATATGAGCCTCATACGAGGCAATGTGGTCCTTCGGATCCGAAGTTCCATCATATGTGATGTGCGACGGTATTTTAACCGTGGGCACGTGCTCTTCCAGTACCCACTGCTCGAATGGCGAACTGGCGGGTAGCATAACGGCCTTGCCCTTGTTCCTGGCCGAAGGGACCGCGCTCCGCCCTCTTAGAGAGGTAGGAGTGGTTTTCGTCCCTGGCTGGGAAGTCTGGGCCTCGGCCGCAGGGAACGAGAGGCGACTGTGCATAGGGATGTCAACGGGGCGGGGCGGATTTTGGCATTCCCATCCCCATCCCCGCCTCACATTTTCATCCCCATCCCCATCCCCATCCCCATGTCGGGTCTGAAAATAATCCCCGTCCCCGCCCCGGCGGGTCCAACTCTAAAACCACCCCCGCCCCATCCCCGTCCCCGCCCCATACCCGCCAAACCCCCACCCCATACCCGCCAAACCCCCGCCCCATCCCCGCCAATTCCCCGCCCCATACCCGCCAACTAAGTATTGAGAAAAGCAACTGTCTTTCAAGTTTCAAGTGTCAACTGAAACCCTGCAGACTCCATAGTAGACTAATGAAAAAGTAGCAGTGCATACAAATCCCATTAACTCAAATCCAACAAAAACCACTGCAAGATCAACCATTTTAAAAATAACCATTTTAAAAAAAAAAAACACTAACTCCAAATTGTCCAAAGTCCAAATATTAAAAATAACTACAAGTCTACAAATATTCAAATACATAACAAGAAATTCATTAGGCCTTGAATTATTCGGTGCAAAGTCCACTTGTTCCAGAATCGATATCACATGTTTCAAATCCTTCCTCTAATTCTCCCACTAATTTAGCATATTCATCATCCTTAAATTCTCCACAATCTGCAAATACAATGTGAATTAATTAAAATAAATAAATAAATAATATTATTAATCAAATAAAATTTTAGCTATTTACTTTTAGAAGCAGCCCATATCCAATTTTGAGTACACATCAAAGCTTCTACAGCTTCCGGTAAAAGCCGACTACGATAAGGATTAAGAACCCGACCACTTGTGCTAAATGCGGACTCTGATGCAACAGTAGAAACAGGAATGCTCAATATATCTCGTGCTATTTGCTGAAGAATGGGATATGTGCCTCCATTTGTCTTCCACCAGTTAAGAATATCAAAATCTTGGACTAGAGGCACATTAGCAGCATCTAAATACTTATCCAAATCTGATATATCATGACTTGAGTCCTTATCTTGTTGTAAAAATTCAGCAAATTCTTGCATAAAGGTCTCTTCATTGGATTTGCTACTACTACCCAAATCAAAATCTTGTTGGTTGCTACTACCTTGAGTTTTACCCATCTTAGACCCATATTCATCAACCAATCTTCGTAGAAGATCACTAATTCTACGAACCTCAATTTCAAAGTCATGCTCATCAAAAATTTTTGCAAAATAAAAGCGAATAAGAGCCATTTTGTATCTAGGATCTAGTATTGTTGCCACTCCCATTAAGCCATTCACACTAGCCCAATACTTGTTATATTTTTGTAACATAATGTCGGCCATTTTCCTTACATAATCATGAGGAGATAAAAGCCAACCAGAAATAGCAATTCTCAAAGCACAAATTTTAGGAAAATAAAGATTGGCCGTAGGGTAATTTGTTCCTGAAAAACTAAGGGTAGTTTTACTAAACACTTCCAAATGTTCACATATTTTCTCAACTTTTTCCCAATCTTCAGGGGTCGGTGGATTCTTATATAAATTATTACGAGCACTTAAAACAACAAACACTTCTTTATAACTAGTAGCAATAGAAAGCATTTCATAA